GCCGTCAATGGGACCGCCTCGAAGCCGCCAAGCTGGATGGTCAATCGTGCTGCTTGCCAAGTCAATCAAGTCGAAGCGCAGGAATCCGTGCAGGCTGTTGTAGCTCCCCCTGCTGATGTGCGCCTCAACATATTGTTCCCTGGCACTGCCATGATTAATGAGACGATTTCGCAGTGTCCCGGCTCACAAAGCACCTCAGCCACAATAGAGTTCACCCTTGACAGTGGGGCCACTCACACGGTTCTCAAGGAAGAACACTCCTTCAAGCCATACGAGACACCAATCCGTCTACTTGGAGCAGACTCCAGTTTCACAACACACCCAAGGGCTCCTCCAGCTTTTCCTTCGGGGAGTGTCATCAGCATGTGTGTTTCCACACTACGCCACAATCTCGTGGCCCAACACGAGCTCCAACAGGCAGGCGTCAGCACGATCTTCCCAGCACACTCGGATCACTGTGACCTCTTCGACCCTAAGTCCAACAAGCTCCTAGCACGCTTCACACTCAACAGTAGCAAGCTCTACACGCTGCGTTCACCTGCACCTCTCGCCGCCCTCTCCCAAGCGCAAGCTGCCAGCACCACTCCGTGTTCGTGTCGCAGCTTCGCCAACCCAACCATCCTCTACCACCATCGCTTGGGTCACCCCAACTTCCGTACACTTGCCGACATCGCTTCCAAGAAACTTCTTCTTGGCCTCCCGTCGGCGCTTCCTCCACCAACAGACTCACCTGCACCCACCTGCCTGGACTGCACCAAGAGCAAGCTCAGTCAGCAGCCGCACCCTTCCTCCCCATCCGTCGCAGCTGCTCCGCTGGACCTAGTGCACATGGATGTCTGGGGCCCAGCTCCAGTCGCATCCCGAGGCGGTCATCGATACTTTCTTACACTAGTCGATGACCACTCGCGGTATGTTTCTGTGCACCTCCTGCATACCAAGGCGGAGGCACCTGATGTCATCATGGCGTGGGTGCGCCAGGCTCAAGTCACGTTCGGCACTCCTCTGAAGTGCCTCCATTCTGATGGTGGGGGAGAATTTCGCAATGGCATACTCGATAACTTCTGTGCGGCCCAAGGGATTCGGCAAACCTTCACGCTCCCCGAAAGCCCGCAGCAGAACGGCATTGCAGAGAGCCGCAACCACACCTTGGTTCAGATCGCTCGCTGCCTCCTCAGTCACGCCAACGCACCACGGTCACTCTGGGGATATGCCCTCTTCCATGCGGCACTCCTCTACTATCTTTATCCGCATCCCCACCGGCCCGACACCACACCTACCGCTCTCTGGCTTGAGGTCACGCCTTCCGCCCGCTCTCTACGCGTCTGGGGGTGTACCGCGTATGTGTTGCTAAGCCCCCACACGCGCAGGAAGCAAGGTGGCAAGCTTGGTCCCAAAACCCAGACCTGCATGTACCTGGGGCACAACTCCGACTCCCCAGACTACTTATTTCTCAACCCAATCACCAGACAGCTGATTCGCAGCCGTGATGTCGTCTTCGATGAGACACGCCCATTCCACTCTGCGACCACGGGCGAGCCTCCTCCACCTCCCCCGACGCTTGTTTGGGCAGACTTCGATGCCCCACCTCCGGCCGTTGCCCCTTCTCTGGGGCCTTCTCCGTCCGGTGTGTCTCATCCGGCCTCCCCAGTATCCTCTGCAGCAGCACCTCCTACTGCTCCGCCTTCCCCGCGCGTCGAGCTCGGCTCACCAGTCTCCTATCGGAGGCGCCCAGTCCCTCCGGTCCCACCACAGCCGCCTTCGTCTCCGGTCTCTAGTCGCACTCGTTCCAAGGGATCGGCTCCGCCTCTCGCCTGGGGACCAGCCGCCTTCTCCATCCGGTGTTCGGTCACCCCGCCTCCTCCTGCCGGGGGTGATGTCCCCTCCATCCGTATTCCCCCCCGTGCACTTCTGGAGGACAGGCATGAGGAGCTGTTTGACCTTTACGCGGTCTGCCAATTTCTCTCTCACATCTTCCCGGACATTACTGACTGCCCTTCCCTCAACTTCACCGAGAACCCGACCATTCCGACTCCTCGCACAAAAGAGGAAGCTCTCTCGGGGCCTTATAAGGAGTGGAAGGCAGCAATGGATGTGGAGAACGAGGCAATCATTCGCAACAACAGCTTTGACGAGGTTGTTCCCCCTTCCGGTGTCAACATCGTCGGCGGAAAATGGATCTTCCGAGTCAAACAACTCCCAGGCGAAGCTCCACTGTTCAAGGCACGATACGTGGCGAAGGGTTTCACCCAGAAGGAGTATCTCGACTTCTTCGAAACATTCTCGCCCACGGCCAAGCTCCCGACTGTGCGCGCTCTTCTTGATATAGCCGCTCGCGGCAACTTCGAGTGGATGCCTCCTCCGCCTTTCTCCAAGGCCAGCTCAAGAAGGATGTTCACATGGAACGCCCACCGGGGTTTCCTGGCACTTACCCTGCCAACACAGTGTGGAAGCTGAAGCGCCCAGTGTATGGCCTCAAGCAGGCTCCTCGTGAGTGGCACAACAAGGTGAAGGAAGTCCTCCTCGCACTTGACTTCCATCCCTTTGCCTCAGATTCCAGTCTCTTCGTTCGTCACTCCTCCGAGGCCTTCTACATCCTCGTCTACGTCGAAAACTTCATTCTAGCCGCCAGAGATCCAGCCGACATGGCAGCTGTCCAGTCTGCTCTCAGCTCCGCCCTTCTCATGAAGGATCTTGGTGACCTCAAGAACTACCTGGGGATGGAGATCACTCGTGACCGCCAGGCTTGCACGATCACCCTCTCCCAGGAGTCCTACATCGACAACCTTCTCAAGCGGTTCGACATGGACTCCAGTAACTCTGTCTCCACTCCACTCCCACTACAGCATCAGCTCACGGCCCCTCCAGTTCCTTCTCCTCACGCCTGCAAGGACCCGTACCCTGAGCTAGTCGGTTCACTCATGTATGCCATGATGTGCACTCGACCAGACTTGGCTTACCCGGTTAGTGTCCTCTCTCGGTACGTCTCCCCCGGACGCTACACTGCCTCGCATTGGTCTGCAGCCAAGAGGGTCCTCCGCTATCTACAAGCCACCAAGTCTCACATCCTCACTCTTGGTCGTACCTCTCCAGTCAAGCTCGAGGGATACACAGACTCCTCATGGGCCGATGACCAGACTGACAGACGCTCCTCCCAAGGGTACTGCTTCACCCTTGGTAGCGGAGTCATCAGCTGGCGCTCCACTCGGTCCTCTGCAGTCTCCCTGTTGTCCTGCGAGGCCGAGCTCTACGCGGGCACAATGGCTGCTCAAGAGGCACGCTGGCTCTCCTTTCTCCTCGCTGAGTTAGGCTACCCCCAGCAGTCGCCCACCCTGTGGAATGACAACCAGAGTGCCATTCACCTCACCAAGGATCCTGTGTTCCACTCTCGTACCAAGCACATCGAACTTCGTCATTTCTTCATCCGAGATCTTGTTCAGAGTGACCAGCTGACGGTACGGTACATCGCCTCAGATTGCAACCTCGCCGACCTCTTTACCAAGGCTCTCGGCAAGGCTGACCACCATCGCCTTCTCCGTTCCATTGGGCTATGTGCTCCTTGACCGGGTTTGCAGTCTATGGGGGTGTGTTAGAAATAGACTGCAAATACCACTTTTGTATTTGTACTTTTATATCCTAGTTTAGGTTGTGAATGTTCTAGTGGGTTGGGCTGTACTCACAAATCCCAACCTCACCCAATTGTGATCCCCACAATCTCCAATTACCCAATTGGAGATTCCGGAGATCCCAATGGGGATTCCCTCCAATTCCCCCTTCATCCATTCTCTCTCACCTTGCCATGTACTTATAGAGCCTTGGGCTCCTTACCTAATCAATCATTTCAACTCTATTTCTTACAATGTCTTCCGATCCATATAGCAGATCCCTGCACTGGTATGGGGATCAAGAAAGAAGGAGATGGGAGCAGTAAAGGAAGGATCTCTTTGAGAACTTCAACTCCCTTTTGATTTAGTTGAGCAGAGGCTGAATACTGTACTCCCACTGTAGGGTAGGACTTGAGGTAACGCACCACTCTCTCCGCTGCACCGCACTGCTCTTCTGTTGGATTTTGCACTACTGGAGCCAGCTGTCCCACAGCAAAGCTGATGTCAGGCCGAGTATGCACAGCAGCGTAGAGTAGGCTCCCGACCATGGATTGGAATTGCCTCTGGTCTTCACTCTCAACTTCTTTTCCTTCAGCTGTCTTGATGAGTTTGAACTCGGAAGGCAAAGGTGTGACCACTTCCCGTTCTTCCTGCAGAGAGTACTTCTCAGCCAAGGTGTTGATGTACTGTCCCTGATGCAGTTTGAGCCAGCCACGTTCAGTATCCCGCTCAATGTGCATTCCCAGGTAGTACCTTGCCTCTCCAAGTGACTTGCACTTGAACTGCTCTGTGAGCTTCCGCTGCACCCCATCGATCTCCTTGTCACTGCTGCTGAAGAGCAGGATGTCATCCACGTACACCAGCAGAAGCACAAGTTACTCCCCCTCTCCCATCAGGAATAGGCTCTCGTCGCATGCACTCGCACGGAATCCAATCCCTTCCAGTGCACTGGCCAGCCTGTTGTACCAGCATCTCGGGGCCTGCTTCAAGCCATAGATGGCCTTGTTAAGTTTGCAGACACGACCGGTTCCATCCTCATAGCCAGGTGGTTGAACCATGTACACCTCCTCTTCCACAATGCCGTACAGAAAAGCGGTTACGATGTCCATCTGCTTCACCTTCCATTTGCGCACAGCAGCTACCGCCAGCAGCACACGTAGCGTTGGAGACTTAGCAGTTGGGGCAAACACTTCTTTGTAATCTTCCTTCTCTTTCTGCTGAAACCCCTTTGCCACCAGCCTGCTCTTGTAAACTGATGGCTCTCCTTTCTCATCCGTCTTGATTTTTGCCAGCCACTTGCACTGTATTGCCTTCTTCCCATTTGGCAAGTACACCAGGTCCCATGTGTGATTCTCCATCTGGCTGTTGTACTCTGCATCTCTTGAAACGAGCCACTTCCCCCGTTGAGGTCCGGCTAGCGCATGATCCATGCTCGGAGGTTGTATTGGTGCGTAAAAGCAGTATGCAGGCTCTTCGTCATCTGACTCTTGGTCATCACCCAAGAACAGCACTGCATCTTCGCCTTGAGCCTGTTCCTGCTGCTCAGTTGTGGCTCCTCCACTTGTGGAGCTCAGCAGCTTTCTCGTTGCCATTCTGGTACGTGCAGGGTAGATGGTTGGATTTACCCATTCTTTCACCTTCACCCAATCCTTTGTCCCCCCACCAATCTGTTTCCTTCGCTTTGGCAGACTTGGTATTTTGGAAGCCTCTTGCTGCTGCTGCTCCGGATCCTTGACTTCAGCATCAGCTGCAATATCCTCATTGCTTCCTTCATCAGTACCGCTTGCCGTTGGCGCAGTGACTTAGCTGTCCTCAGGTTCGGACAGATCGAAGTGCATAGTGATCTCTTCCAGCTGCTGATTGACCCTTGCCTCCGGCTGCTTCTCCCACTTGCCATACATGATGTTCTCCACAAATTTGACATCCCGACTGTCAAACAGCACCTTCTTTGAGGGCTCCCAGAGTAGCCACCCCTTGCTCTCTGCCGCAAGCCCAAGGTGCACACACCAAAGTGCAGATGCTCCAAGCTTTGTCCTGTACGGTTTAGGGACATGCGCTACTGCCATGCATCCGAACACTCGAAGCATGTCCACTGGAGGCTTTTTTCCAAGCCACCTCTCCAGCGGCACCCACATATCATCAGCCACCTTTGTGAGTACGCGGTTACTTGCCACTGTAGCATGCCTCACCGCATGAGGCCACGTGGAGTTCCCCAGCCCTGATTCGATCAGCAGCGCTCGCGCAGTTTCCAGGATGGTCCTGTTAGCCCTCTCAGCAACGCCATTTGACTGAGGGGTATAGGACGTCGTTAGCTGATGCTCAATGCCTTGTTTCTTGAGCCACGCAGTCAGATCTCCTCCTAGAAACTCTCCACCTCGGTCGGTTCTGATGCTCTTGCATGGGTGCCCAGATTGTCGCTCGACGAACGGCAGCCAGTCATCTCGTATTGTTGAGGCAGCATGATCCTTCTACTTCAACGGGTATGCCCACATCAGCCGACTCCAGTCATCAACTATTGTCAGGAAGTACCTTTCCCCCTTACTTCCTCGGACTGGAAAAGGTCCTACGAGGTCCATGTGCACCAGTTCCAGTGCTGCCTTGCTTTTCCCAGCTATGCCATAAAAGGGGAACCGTGTGAACTTGCTCAGCAGACACGTCTCGCACTTGGTATCATTTGGTTGCCCAGAAAGCTTGAGCCCCTTTACTGCTTCTTCCTTATGCAGTTGCTGCAGCAATGGCATAGCCACATGCCCTAGACGCTTGTGTGCGGTTTCCCAATCAGTCTCCCCCGACCTTGCAGAAACCGTCACTCCTGCAGCACTACCTCCATTACACTCCCCCTGGACTCCAGATCCCGCCTTAACTTCTCCCAACTCCTTCTTTGTTGATTCCCATATCAGTGCAGGGATCTGCCACATGATCTAAAGACATCTCTGCTTTCGTGTAAATCCCATAACACACGATCTCCTCGCAGCCCCTTGAATGTTTTGGATCCATTGGTGGTGGTGCTGACTCCGGCCTGGCCTAGCTTGCGCAGCGATATCAGATTGGCCTTCAGCCCCGGTACGAGTAACACGTCCTTCAGCACAACCAGTCCACCATCAGGTGCTCTGAATGCAGCTCGACCAACTCCAGCGACCTTCACTGCATGTCCGGATGCTGAGCGCACTTCAGAGATTGGAGGCGCTCGCACAGCATCCAGCAAGTCCTTGCGTGGTGTCATTGTCCATGCAGCACCAGAGTCCATGACCCACATGTCAAGCGGGTGCAATTCCTCTCCAGCCCTTGCAACAGCTGTGCCACTGTCATCTTTGTCACACACATGGTAGAACTGTCCAGCATTCCTCTCCTCATTTCCCATTCCTCTGTCATCCTTGGAGGTTTCTTCAGCAGGATCAGCTACCATGTTGGCACCTCCATGTGGTTGCTTTCCTCCATTCCCCTTTTGCGATTGGTTCCAAGGGGTCCACCAGTCGGGCTTGGTAGAGCAGCGAAACCATGGATGCCCTTCTTCCTTGCAATACCAGCACTCTCCCCTCAAGCGTGGTTCACTGTTATCGTTGTTTGAGTGACCACCTCTTCCTCTTGCACCAGCGCCACCATGCCCCCGCTGGTTCCAAGTCCCGCGACCACCTTGGTTGTAGTAAGAGCGACCGCGATTGCCACGCCCTCGATCTCTCCATGTCCCTTGCATGGCATAGCCGCTGGTGCTGTCATCACCTCCGCGCAGTGTATAGCGACGAAAATCTTCTTCCAGAATCTTGGTGCGAATCCACTCCAATGTCCATTGACTTTGGTTTTGTGGCAAGCTGAGTCCGCTTATAAATTGCAGCCAAGACTCGGGCAGCAGGCTGAGCATCTTGAGACACTTTGTCTGCTCTGGGTACGTGATGCCTGCAATCGCCAATTTCGCGTAGAGTTCCCTCATCTTGTCCAGTACGGGCTGCACAGGTTCATTCTCGCTCAACCGCAGCATGGACAGCTCCCGATCCAGCATGAGAGAAGCGGCAACCGATGTCGGAGCGTGCAGGTCCTTGAGCACTGCCCATGCCCTGGGCCCACAATCAGTTTCCGGTAGCAGATGCATGATGTGATGCCTCTGGTTCAGCTCCAAGCTTTGTGACAGTAGATAATACCCAGCAGATGAACGTTCATCCCAGTCCGCTTGCTCTGCCATTTCCTTTGGCCTGGGCTCCGTTCCAATCATGAGCTTCAAGAGGCCAATTTGTCGAAAGTAGAGCTGCATCTTCCATGCCCAATCATCATAGCCATCTCCAGAGAACTTCTCAATGGTGAAGTTCTTCAGCACCTCCTTAAGCAGTGACCCCTGGCTTGTACGCGCTCCCCTTTGCGCTGCAATGCCAGAATCTTGGGTTGAGCTGCCTCCTTGGACTGAAGTATCACCTCCACCAGAGTCCTCTTTATCTCCCATCGTATTTTAGGTCTCAAATGCGTGATCATAGGCTCTGATACCACTTGTTGGTTAGAGAAGGCTATAAGCAGATGATTCAATGGCTCCTTGGAAATTTCTGCAGCACTTCGTTATGACGCCCAGAAAACTCGCGACCTTCGAATAGCTATATCCAAAACTCCAATCGGTGAAACGATCTGATATGTTGTAGCTGGCAGCGTCAGCTTTCCACTGAAAGTTGAATCACTTGATTCCGTAGCTTAACGAGTGAGCTATGGCGTTTGGCGCACTGGGGGGTAATCTGCCCTAGGAGAAGTTGACAGTCCTCAGAGTCACTATGATTGAAGCTTACAAGATCAGAGGCATGATAGAAAAGGCAATGAAGCACAGTTGGAAGGTGGGGTAGGAAGGGAAGGATGAAAGGGAAGGACCCTGGAGGCCCATGGTCAAGAACATGACAAGAGTCAAAGTTTTGACTCCCCATCCTCAGGTTCAGCCAGCCTGGCAAGACAAAATTCACACTGTGCCAGGTTGGCCTCCAAACCCCAAATGCTGCAGCTGCAAGGTGGGGACAAAAGTCCCACACATGCTGGTCCCTCCTCGTTATAGGGCTCTCCAACTTTGGTGTAGCAGCTGACAAGGACTTCCAATGAGTTGTAACAAATCCATCAAACATTTCTTCGTAACTTCTTCATATGTGCTCCGATTCCAACAATTCTTGGCTCGTTGGAATGTGCTCGATGTCATGCACAATCCAAGCACATCTGCACAAGCACAAGATGAACATGCAAAGACATGCAAACCCAACAAACCATACAAACAACGTAGCACACAAAACACATGCAAACGAAATGATGCGAACAGACGACAGGATGACGTGCAAATGAATATGCACCAACAAGGACCAATCACAAGGGAGGGAGGATCCTTCCAAATGTGGTTGACCACCAGTTGGAGGTGGTCGAAGTGTGGTGTACCACCAGTGGTTTAGCCAACCCACTTGTGGTGGCCCCACAATTGTGGTCCTTGTGTTTGGGGGCTCCAACCACAATTGGGTTGGATTGACACCCCAACACAGGTGTACACCCAACTAGGGATGTAAACACAATATACACAACTAGGATAGCATGGTATATTCTAACAGAAGTACCTTTCCCCCTTACTTCCTCGAACTGGAAAAGGTCCTACCAGGTCCATGTGCGCCAGTTCCAGTGCTTTCTTCCCTTTTCCAGCTACGCCGTGAAAGGGGAACCGTGTGAACTTGCGCAGCAGACACGTGTCGCACTTGGTATCATTTGGTTGCCCAGAAAGCTTCAGCCCCTTTACTGCTTCTTCCTTATGCAGTTGCTGCAGCAATGGCATAGCCACATGCCCTAGACGCTTGTGTGCGGTTTCCCAATCAGTCTCCCCCGACCTTGCAGAAACCGTCACTCCTGCAGCACTAACTGCATTGCACTCCCCCTGGACTCCAGATCCTGCCTTTACTGCTCCCAACTCCTTCTTTGTTGATTCCCATATCAGCGCAGGGATGTGCCACATGGATCTAAAGACATCTCTGCTTTCGTGTAAATCCCATAACACACGATCTCCTCGCAGCCCCTTGAATGTTTTGGATCCATTGGTGGTGGTGCTGACTCCGGCCTGGCCTAGCTTGCGCAGCGATATCAGATTGGCATTCATTCCCGGTACGAGTAACACATCCTTCAGCACAACCAGTCCGCCATCGGGTGCTCTGAACGCAGCTCAACCAAATCTAGTGACCTTCACAGCATGTCCAGATGCTGAGCGCACTTCGGAGATTGGAGGCGCTCGGACATCATCCAGCAAGTCCTTGCGTGGTGTCATTGTCCATGCAGCACCAGAGTCTATGACCCACATGTCAAGCGGGTGCAGTTCCTCTCCAGCCTTTGCAACAGCTGTGTCACAATCATCTTTGTCACACACATGGTAGAACTGTCCAGCGTCCCTCTCCTCATTTCCCATTCCTCCATCATCCTTTGAGGTTTCTTCAGCAGGATCAGCTACCATGTTGGCACCTCCGTGTAGTTGCTTTCCTCCATTCCCTTTTTGCGATTGGTTCCAAGGGGTCCACCAGTCGGGCTTGGTAGAGCAGCGAAACCATGGATGCCCTTCGTCCTTGCAATACCAGCACTCTCCCCTCAAGCGTGGTTCACTGTTGTCGTTGTTGGAGTGACCAACTCTTCCTCTTACACCAGCGCCACCACGTCCCCGCTGGTTCCAAGTCCCGCGACCACCTTGGTTGTAGTAAGAGCGACCGCAATTGCCACGCCCTTGATCCCTCCATGTACCTTGCATGGCATAGCCGCTGGCGCTCTCATCACCTCCGCGCAGTTGACAGCGACGAAACTCTCCTTGCAGAATCTTGGTGCGGATCCTCTCCAATGTCCATTGACTTTGATTTTGTGGCAAGCTGAGTCCGCTTGTGAATTGAAGCCAAGGCTCGGGAAGCAGGCTGAGCATCTTGAGACACTTGGTCTGCTCAGGGTACGTGATGCCTGCGATCGCCAATTTCGCGTAGATTTCCCTCATCTTGTCCAGTACGGGCTGCACCGCTTCATTCTCGCTCAACCGCAGCGTGGACAGCTCCCGATCCAGCATGAGAGAAGCGGCAACCGATGTCGGAGCGTGCAGGTCCTTGAGCACTGCCCATGCCTTGGGCCCACAATCAGTTTTTGGTAGCAGATGCATCATGTGATGCCTCTGGTTCAGCTCCAAGCTTTGTGACAGTAGGCAGTACCCAGCAGATGAACGTTCATCCCAGTCCGTTTTCTCTACCATGTCCTTTGGCCTTGGCTCCTTTCCTATCATGAGATTCAAGAGGCCAATTTGTCGAAAGTAGAGCAGCATCTTCCATGCCCAATCATCATAGCCATCTCCAGAGAACTTCTCAATCGTGAAGTATTTCAGCACCTCCTTAAGCAGTGACCCCTGGCTTGTACGAGCTCCCCTTTGCGCTGCTATGCCAGAATCTTGGATTGAGCTGCCTCCTTGGGCTGAAGTGTCATCTCCACCAGAGTCCTCCTTATCTCCCATCGTAGTTTAAGTCCCAAAATGCGTGATAATGGGCTCTGATACCAGCAATTGGTTGGAGAAGGCTATGAGCAGAAGATTTGACTGCAGAAGGTTATGGGTCAATGGCTTTAAAGCCCACATCTCATACTTACGAAGGTAATGCCCTTGGCCTGGCTGACGACCTGCTGATTGGCGGGCGAGAGACGCGAAAGTTGGAAGTGAGCGAAAGTTGAAACCCAACTAAAGCTAAAACCAGAACCACAAGCGCAGGCTGGATGGACTACTGAACCACCACCCCAAGCCTGAAAATGTCGCCAAAGGAACCCACCCACCACCGGGCGACACATCCAAATACAAGGCACCCCAATTCATGGCACAATCCACAGGACCCTGCCACAAGGCACTGCGCATGGCAACCGCCCAGCCACAATTCATCCAACACCAGAAAGCGGCTCAACCGTGCAGGAATGTCCCAACACGAACGTCCCCATGCCCCACGCCCTACGCCCAACAGACGACAGAATGACGTGCAAACGAATATGCACCAACACACTCCCCCTCAGACTGTCGGCTTGTTACGCTGTCTCTATTTCAAGGACATTCCCGCCATCCTCGCACAGCGCCAGTGTGGCTCTTCAGCTAGCCGCTTGGTAAGGAAGTCGGCTGGCTGTTGCTGAGTTTTCACGTAGATCGGATCTAGTGTCCCAAGCTTCACCTCCTTCCGCAGCCAAGGCCACTTGATCCTCATGTGCTTGTTCAACCCATGAAGAACTGCATTGCATGCCATGGCAATGGCTCCCTTGCTGTCACTGAACAGAGGTGTCGCACAAGTCTGTTCATGGCCGATCTCCTTCAAGAGCCTCCTTAGCCAGATGATTTCTTTTGCCGCATGAAACATCGCCATGTACTCAGATTCCACTGAAGATAGTGCCATCTCAGACTGCTTCTTGGACCTCCAACTTACAGGCCCACCTCCCACCATGCAGATGTATCCACCAACTGATGATGAATCCTCATGCTCAGAAGCCCACGTGGCATCAGCAAAACAGGAAAGGAACACCTTTCCTTCTCCGAGCTGCTCCCCCTTCTCTTTGAGGACTTCAACTCCTTTTTGACTGAGTTGAGCAGAGGCTGAATACTGTACTCCCACTGTAGGGTATGACTTGAGGTAGCGCACCATTCTCTCCGCTGCACCACACTGCTCTTCTGTTGGATTTTGCACTACTGGAGCCAGCTGTCCCACAGCAAAGCTGATGTCAGGCCGAGTATGCACAGCAGCGTAGAGTAGGCTCCCGACCATGGATTGGAATTGCCTCTGGTCTTCACTCTCAACTTCTTCTCCTTCAGCTGCCTTTATGAGTTTGAACTCGGAAGGCAAAGGTGTGACCACTTCCCGTTCTTCCTGCAGAGAGTACTTCTCAGCCAAGGTGTTGATGTACTGTCCCTGATGCAGTTTGAGCCAGCCACGTTCAGTATCCCGCTCAATGTGCATTCCCAGGTAGTACCTTGCCTCTCCAAGTGACTTGCACTTGAACTGCTCTGTGAGCTTCCGGTGCACCCCATCGATCTCCTTGTCACTGCTGCTGAAGAGCAGGATGTCATCCACGTACACCAGCAGAAGCACAAGTGACTCCCCCTCGCCCATCAGGAATAGGCTCTCGTCGCATGCACTCGCACGGAATCCAATCCCTTCCAGTGCACTGGCCAGCCTGTTGTACCAGCATCTCGGGGCCTGCTTCAAGCCATAAATGGCCTTGTTGAGTTTGCAGACATGACCGGTTCCATCCTCATAGCCAGGTGGTTGAACCATGTACACCTCCTCTTCCACAATGCCGTACAGAAAAACGGTTACGATGTCCATCTGCTTCACCTTCCATTTGCGCACAGCAGCTACCGCTAGCAGCACACGTAGCGTTGAAGACTTAGCAGTTGGGGCAAACACTTCTTTGTAATCTTCCTTCTCTTTCTGCTGAAACCCGTTTGCCACCAGCCTGCTCTTGTAAACTGATGGCTCTCCTTTCTCATCCGTCTTGATTTTTGCCAGCCACTTGCACTGTATTGCCTTCTTCCCATTTGGCAAGTACACCAGGTCCCATGTGTCCTCCATCTGGCTGTTGTACTCTGCATCTCTTGAAACGAGCCACTTCCCCCGTTGAGTCCCGGCTAGCGCATAATCCATGCTCGGAGGTTGTATTGGTGCGTAAAAGCAGTATGCAGGCTCCTCGTCATCTGACTCTTGGTCATCACCCAAGAACAGCACCGCATCTTCGCCTTGAGCCTGTTCCTGCTGCTCAGTTGTGGCTCCTCCACTTGTAGAGCTCAGCAGCTTTCTCGTTGCCATTCTAGTACGTGCAGGGTAGATGGTTGGATTTACCCATTCTTTCACCTTCACCCAATCCTTTGTCTCCCCACCAATCTGTTTCCTTCGCTTTGGCAGACTTGGTGTTTTGGAAGCCTCTTGCTGCTGCTGCTCCGGATCCTTGACTTCAGCATCAGCTGCAATATTCTCATTGCTTCCTTCATCAGTACCGCTCGCCGTTGGCGCAGTGACTTCGCTGTCCTCAGGTTCGGACAAATCGAAGTGCATAGTGATCTCTTCCAGCTGCTGAGTGACCCTTGCCTCCGGCTGCTTCTCCCACTTGCCATACATGATGTTCTCCACAAATTTGACATCCCGACTGTCAAACAGCACATTCTTTGAGGGCTCCCAGAGTAGCCACCCCTTGCTCTGTGCCGCAAGCCCAAGGTGCACACACCACAGTGCAGATGCTCCAAGCTTTGTCCTGTACGGTTTAGGGACATGCGCCACTGCCATGCATCCGAACACTCTAAGCATGTCCACTGGAGGCTTGTTTCCAAGCCACCTCTCCAGCGGCACCCACATATCATCAGCCACCTTTGTGAGTACGCGGTTCCTTGCCACTGTAGCATGCCTCACCGCATGAGGCCACGTGGAGTTCCCCAGCCCTGATTCGATCAGCAGCGCTCGCGCAGTTTCCAGGATGGTCCTATTAGCCCTCTCAGCAACGGGTATGCCCAGATCAGCCGACTCTAGTCATCAATTATTGTTAGAAAGTATTTTTCCCCCTTACTTCCTTGAACTGGAAAAGGTCCTACTAGGTCCATGTGCACCAGTTCCAGTGCTGCCTTGCTTTTCCCAGCTACGCCGTGGAAGGGGAACCGTATGAACTTGCTCAGCAGACATGTCTCGCACTTGGTATCATTTGGTTGCCCAGAAAGCTTCAGCCCCTTTACTGCTTCTTCCTTATACAGTTGCTGCAGCAATGGCATAGCCACATGCCCTAGACGCTTGTGTGCGGTTTCCCAATCAGTCTCCCCCGACCTTGCAGAAACCGCCACTCCTGCAGCACTAACTGCATTGCACTCCCCCTGGACTCCAGATCCTGCCTTTAGTGCTCCCACCTCTTTCTTTGTTGATTCCCATATCAGCGCAGGGATGTGCCACATGGATCTGAAGACATCTCTGCTTTCGTGTAAATCCCATAACACAAGATCTCCTCGCAGCCCCTTGAATGTTTTGGATCCATTGGTGGTGGTGCTGACTCCGGCCTGGCCTAGCTTGCGCAGCGATATCAGATTGACCTTCAGCCCCGGTACGAGTAACACGTCCTTCAGCACAACCAGTCCACCATCAGGTGCTCTGAATGCAGCTCGACCAACTCCAGCGACCTTCACTGCATGTCCGGATGCTGAGCGCACTTCGGAGATTGGAGGCGCTCGCACAGCATCCAGCAAGTCCTTGCGTGGTGTCATTGTCCATGCAGCACCAGAGTCCATGACCCACATGTCAAGCGGGTGCAATTCTTCTCCAGCCCTTGCAACAGCTGTGCCACTGTCATCTTTGTCACACATATGGTAGAACTGTCCAGCATTCCTCTCCTCATTTCCCATTCCTCTGTCGTCCTTGGAGGTTTCTTCAGCAGGATCAGCTACCATATTGGCACCTCCATGTGGTTGCTTTCCTCCATTCCCCTTTTGCGATTGGTTCCAAGGGGTCCACCAGTCGGGCTTGGTAGAGCAGCGAAACCATGGATGCCCTTCTTCCTTGCAATACCAGCACTCTCCCCTCAAGCGTGGTTCAGTGTTATCGTTGTTTGAGTGACCACCTCTTCCTCTTGCACCAGCGCCACCACGCCCCCGCTGGTTCCAAGTCCCGCGACCACCTTGGTTGTAGTAAGAGCGACCGCGATTGCCACGCCCTCGATCTCTCCATGTCCCTTGCATGGCATAGCCGCTGGTGCTGTCATCACCTCCGCGCAGTGTATAGCAACGAAAATCTTCTTCCAGAATCTTGGTGCGAATCCACTCCAATGTCCATTGACTTTGGTTTTGTGGCAAGCTGAGTCCGCTTATAATTTGCAGCCAAGACTCGGGCAGCAGGCTGAGCATCTTGAGACACTTTGTCTGCTCTGGGTACGTGATGCCAGCAATCGCCAATTTCGCGTAGAGTTCCCTCATCTTGTCCGGTACGGGCTGCACAGGTTCATTCTCGCTCAACCGCAGCATGGACAGCTCCCGATCCAGCATGAGAGAAGCGGCAACCGATGTCGGAGCGTGCAGGTCCTTGAGCACTGCCCATGCCCTGGGCCCACAATCAGTTTCCGGTAGCAGATGCATGATGTGATGCCTCTGGTTCAGCTCCAAGCTTTGTGACAGTAGATAATACCCAGCAGATGAACGTTCATCCCAGTCCGCTTGCTCTGCCATTTCCTTTGGCCTGGGCTCCGTTCCAATCATGAGCTTCAAGAGGCCAATTTGTCGAAAGTAGAGCTGCATCTTCCATGCCCAATCATCATAGCCATCTCCAGAGAACTTCTCAATGGTGAAGTTCTTCAGCACCTCCTTAAGCAGTGACCCCTGGCTTGTACGCGCTCCCCTTTGCGCTGCAATGCCAGAATCTTGGGTTGAGCTGCCTCCTTGGACTGAAGTATCACCTCCACCAGAGTCCTCCTTATCTCCCATCGTATTTTAGGTCCCAAATGCGTGATAATGGGCTCTGATACCACTTCTTGGTTAGAGAAGGCGTATACGCAGATGATTTAATGGCTCTTTGGAAATTCTGCAGCACTTCGTTATGACGCCCAGAAAACTCGCGACCTTCGAATAGCTATATCCAAAACTCCAATCAGTGAAACGATTTTAAAATCGGATATGTTGTAGCTTGCAGCGTCAGCTTTCCAGTGAAAGTTGAATCACTCGATTCCGTAGCTTAACGAGTGAGCTATGGCGTTTGGCGCACTGGGGGGTAATCTGCCCTAGGAGAAATTGACAGTCCTCAGAGTCACTATCATTGAAGCTTACAATTTCAGAGGTATGATAGAAAAGGCATTGAAGCACAGTTGGAAGGTGGGGAAGGAAGGGAAGGATGAAAGGGAAGGACCCTGGAGGCCCTTGGTCAAGAACATGACAAGAGTCAAAGTCTTGACTCCCCATCCTCAAGTTCAGCCAGCCTGGCAAGACAAAATTCACACTGTACCAGGTTGGCCTCCAAACCCCAAATGATCCAGCTGCAAGGTGAGGACAAAAGTCCCACACATGCTGGTCCCTCCTCGTTATAGGGCTCTCCAACTTTGTTGTATTAGCTGCCAAGGACTTCCAATGAGTTGTAACAAATCCATCAAACATTTCTTCGTAACTTCTTCATATGTGCTCCGATTCCAACAATTCTTGGCTCGTTGGAATGTGCTGGATGTCATGCATAATCCAAGCACATTTGTACAAGCACAAGATGAATATGCAAAGACAAGCAAACCCAACAAACCACACAAACAACGTAGCACACAAAACACATGCAACGAAATGATGCGAACAGACGACAGAATGACGTGCAAACGAATATGCACCAACAGCGAGCAGCGATCCTCGATCAGGGGAGAATGCGGATCTTCCTATGGTTCGGGCTCCCTTTTGTCATTCCAGTTCACTCGCGTGCGCAGCTTCTCATCCACAGGGGCAGAGAAACCGATTTCATGAAATTCTGCGATAAATTCAAGCCCAGTAAGCATAAGTGGGTTCGTGTGAGGGGGGTTCTCATGGGATATGGGCCTGAGGGACACCCAGTGTGGGTTTGAGTGGGGGGTTGCAGTTCTGGGATATGGGTAAGGGGAGAAGCCAGAGTGGGTTTGGGTAAGGGGGGTTAGTTGTGGGACTTGAGGATGATGGGCAGCCATAGTGGGTATGAGTTAGGGGGGTGAGTTCTGGGATATGGGTCTGATGTGCAGCCATAGTGGGTATGAGTTAGGGGGGTCAGTTATAGGATATGTCCAGTGGGCAGCCATTGTTGGTTTGTGTTAGGGGGGTCAGTTCTGGAATATGGGTCAGATGGGCAGCCATAGTTGGTATGAATTAGGGGGGTCGGTTCTGGGATATGGGTCTGATGGGCAGCCATAGTGGGTATGAGTTAGGGGGGTCGGTTCTGGGATATGGGTCTGATGGGCAGCCATAGTGGGTATGAGTTAGGGGGGTCAGTTCTGGGATATGGGTCTGATGGGCAGCCATAGTTGGTATGAGTTAGGGGGGTCGGTTCTGGGATATGGGTCTGATGGGCAGCCATAGTTGGTATGAGTTAGGGGGGTCGGTTCTGGGATATGGGTCTGATGGGCAGCCATAGTGGGTATGAATTAGGGGGGTCGGTTATGGGATATGTCCCCGATGGGCAGCCATAGTTGGTTTGAGTTTGGGGGGTCAGCTCTGGGATATGGGTCTGATGGGCAGCCGTAGTGGGTATGAGTTTAGGGGGATCAGTTCGGGGATATGGGTTTGATAGGCAGCCATAGTGGGTTGGAGTTAGGGGGGTCAGTTCTGGGATATGGGTATGGTGAGAAGCCAGAGTGGGTTTGGGTAAGGGGGGTTATTTCTGGGATATGGGTAAGGGGGAAAGCCATTGTGGGTTTGAGTGGCATGGGGTCTGTTCTGAAAACTGGGTGAGGGGGAAAGCCAGTGTGGGTTTGAGTAAGGGGGGTCGGTTCTGGGATAAGGGTAGGGGGGAAGCCATAGTGGGTTGGAGTAAAAGGGGTCAGTTCTTTGATATTGGCAGCGGGGGAAGCCATAGTGGGTTTGAGTAGGGGGGATCGGTTCTGGGATATGGGTCTTTGGGGCAGCCAGAGTGGGTTTGAGTAAGGGCTTGCTGGTGGGGCTTGCTGCCCTCATTGCCATGGCTGGGGTGGGCTTGCTGCCCTCGTTGACACGGCTGTGTGGGCTTGCTGCCCTCGTTGCCACAACTGGGTGGGCTTGCTGCCCTCATTGCCATGGCTGGTGGGGCTTGCTGCCCTCATTGCCATGGCTGGTGGGGCGTGCTGCCCTCATTGCCATGGCTGTCCTGGCTTGCTGCCCTCTCTGGCTTAGCACACCACTCACTCTTTTTTTTTGTCTCGTGCCTTGCCACATGTTGCAGATGAGAAAAGTTTTGGCCTTTTGATCTGGCACGTATTTAACGGTCTGCCATTCGCCCACGAGGCCTTTGAGTCAGGAATCGTGGAGGCGTTATTCAATTACAAGCCCCCCCCAATCATCGTTAAGCTTTACCACATTGCATTTTTCTTGATAGGGGTGAGTGGCGCTTATGAGAGCTCGGCGTTCTTGGCGCGGATATGGTTTAGTTTCTACTTGTATCTAAGCTGTTGGCCCACCTTTGTTGCCGTGCCGCAGGTGGAGCACCACATTCTCCATAATGGCAAGAATCTGGAGCACACTGCAGTCAAGAACGCCAGGCTCACCACTGACTACTTGAAGAAGGTGACCGCATGGTGCAGGGCGGCCATCATGGCTCCCTCGGTGAATGGCAGCGGGCCATGGTACAAAGAGGAGAACAAGGCGTGGGCGTTCTCCGCGGAACCTGTTATCCTCATCTCTACCGACGGTATTGAGGACACGGAAGGCATCGACCGGGTCGCACTTTCTGCCGATGCCCCACCAGCATAGACGTCTTGCTACAGGTGTTGGCAAAGGAGGGACCAAGGTAGTTGACTCAAAGGAGGGAGTACTCTAGTTCTACTAGAGGCTTATAGGGGCGTGGTGTGGAGGATGAGCCTCTTGAATTTGGTCCTGCGGGCATGGGATAGCAATGGAAATTGGAGGCAGGATCTGGAATGTGGCATGTGCAAACCCTTTTTGACATGGCATTGTTCGTCTCAACGCATGAATGCACAGAAATATGTATCATAAAGGGAAATGTTGTACGCGGAATTATCGGTCTTCTAAATTTGCTTTGTTGTGGTGCTGTTTGTGTAAGAAATAGAGTTGAAATAATTAATTAGGAAAAGAGCCCAAGGCTCTATAAGTACATGGCAAGGTGAGAGTGAATGGATGAAGGGGGAATTGGAGGGAATCCCCATTGGGATCTCCGGAATCTCCAATTGGGTAATTGGAGATTGGGGGGATCACAATTGGGTGAGGTTGGGATTTGTGAGTACACCCCAACCCACTAGAACATTCATAACCTAAACTAGGATATAAAAGTACAAATACAAAAGTGGTATTTGCAGTCTATTTCTAACACACCCCCATAGACTGCAAACCCGGTCAAGGAGCACATAGCCCCATGGAACGGAGAAGGCGATGGTGGTCAGCCTTGCCGAGAGCCTTGGTAAAGAGGTCGACGAGGTTGCAATCTGAGGCGATGTACCGTACCGTCAGCTGGTCACTCTGAACAAGATCTCGGATGAAGAAATGACGAAGTTCGATGTGCTTGGTGCGAGAGTGGAACACAAGATCCTTGGTGAGATGAATGGCACTCTGGTTGTCACACCACAGGGTGGGCGACTGCTGGGGGTAGCCTAACTCAGCGAGGAGAAAGGAGAGCCAGCGTGCCTCTTGAGCAGCCATTGTGCCCGCGTAGAGCTCGGCCTCGCAGGACGACACGGAGACTGCAGAGGACCGAGTGGAGCGCCAGCTGATGACTCCGCTACCAAGGGTGAAGCAGTACCCTTGGGAGGAGCGTCTGTCAGTCTGGTCATCGGCCCATGAGGAGTCTGTGTATCCCTCGAGCTTGACTGGAGAGGTACGACCAAGAGTGAGGATGTGAGACTTGGTGGCTTGTAGATAGCGGAGGACCCTCTTGGCTGCAGACCAATGCGAGGCAGTGTAGCGTCCGGGGGAGACGTACCGAGAGAGGACACTAACCGGGTAAGCCAAGTCTGGTCGAGTGCACATCATGGCATACATGAGTGAACCGACTAGCTCAGGGTACGGGTCCTTGCAGGCGTGAGGAGAAGGAACTGGAGGGGCCGTGAGCTGATGCTGTAGTGGGAGTGGAGTGGAGACAGAGTTACTGGAGTCCATGTCGAACCGCTTGAGAAGGTTGTCGATGTAGGACTCCTGGGAGAGGGTGATCGTGCAAGCCTG